ATCAATGCTACATGAACTCACTCGTCAAGGGGATGCTGTGGCTTCTGGAGCGTTTGAGTGTCATAACGTTATCCTCATACACTATGGTGCAAGGCCTCTCCCTCAGATTGCAACAAAATCGTGATCGCTCACCTTTAACCCTCATGAAAGATCGCAGGTGGCTCTCAGTGATTGCGGATTTGGGTGAGGCGCAGAGACAACATGACGATTGTGCCTTTTTTTTCCCCGCACGTTAGGACCGGGTCTGGCTGTGGCATGTGTACAGGCTCGTGGAAACCATGGCTCTTGGTATGGTTTGGTTTTGAAGTGTCCAAATCTGGCCAATCCAAAACGCACATCGGTGACGTCTATGTGCGTTTTGCTCTTGTCTGCAAAGAGACAAGACCGAAACGTTTCGTTCAAAACGTTTCGTTCGAATCGTTCACAACGTTTTTGGGATCCAAGATCCTGCATGCAGCTGCAACATGCACGTTCTTGAGTGCTAGGATTTAGGGTTTGGGGTTTAGGGCTCTCTTTTCTCGTTCTCACCTCCCCCCGTAGCATTCCCCAAAAGGGGTCTCAAATTGCCTTGCTTGCCCTGCCCACCTGGCCCTGCGGTTTGCGGTTTGAAGAGAGAGAACACCTTGGAATGAGTTTAGGCGCGTGGTTTGGCCGCCTGAGACGGCGTGGGGTGGCAGAATTAAAAGAGAGAGCCATCCACAATCCGGCTTTAACGCCCAATCGTCACAGGACGACACACTCGAAAAGATCATTCGCTTCTGCACCAAAGTTTCGTTCAAAACGTTTCGCAGCCCCCCAAGAAATTTGAAAACATGGTTCGCAAAAAAAAAAACTCGGCCAAACTTTCGGCCAAACGTTTCGGCCAAACGTTTCGGCCAAACGTTTCGGCCAAACGTTTCGGCCAAACGTTTCGGCCAAACGTTTCGGCCAAACGTTTCGGCCAAACGTTTCGGCCAAACGTTTCGGCCAAACGTTTCGGCCAAACGTTTCGGCCAAACGTTTCGGCCAAACGTTTCGGCCAAACGTTTCGGCCAAACGTTTCGGCCAAACGTTTCGGCCAAACGTTTCGGCCAAACGTTTCGGCCAAACGTTTCGGCCAAACGTTTTTGGGACCCAAACCCTTAACAATTTCTATGAGTTTAGGCGCGTGGTTTGGCCGCCTGAGACGGCGTGGGGTGGCAGAATTAAAAGAGAGAGCCATCCACAATCCGGCTTTAACGCCCAATCGTCACAGGACGACACACTCGAAAAGATCATTCGCTTCTGCACCAAAGTTTCGTTCCAAACGTTTCGCAGCCCCCCAAGAAATTTGAAAACATGGTTCGCAAAAAAAAAACTCGGCCAAACTTTCGGCCAAACGTTTCGGCCAAACGTTTCGGCCAAACGTTTCGGCCAAACGTTTCGGCCAAACTTTCGGCCAAACGTTTCGGCCTAACGTTTTTGGGACCCAAACCCTTAACAATTTCTATAAACCCTAAACCCTAAACCCTAAACCCTAAACCCTAAACCCTAAACCCTAAACCCTAAACCCTAAACCCTAAACTCCGGCCTAAGCGCCGCCGCCTTGTAAGCGGCGGCGGCCAAAGCGCCCCTCGCTACTTTTGCGACTCGCTCCTTACCCGGGCTATATGCCTTCCACGGAACACTACAACTAGCACGTACGTGGCACCACAAGCGTGAACTTGTTCTCAATAGGGACAGTAGACCTGTCCCTGGGCGTACGCCAATAATGCTATATTAAGGCAAATACCCTAAACCCTGCACACTTGTTTCTGGGGCGCGCGGCGCGCTTTTTAGTCTATTTGTCCTTTTGGGAAGGCTTTGAAGTTGGCAAAAACAACGAAAAATACGATGGTTTTGCATTTCAAGGCCACAATCCCCGTGACAGTTGTTGAATTCTGAGCTTATTGGTGGTCCTCTCGGACGGATTCTGGGCTGTTCCTGGCTTTGCCCGGACAGAATCTAGCAAACATATGGCCAGAACCACCAAAAACCAGGAAAAAATCCAGGTTTTTTCCAAAATAATTGCTGGAAAAGCTACATTTATGGTATATTTGACGATTTTCGTGGTTTTGCGGGTTTCCAGCATCTTCAGCAGAAAATAAGGGTTGATTTTCTGTTACCAAATCCTGCTTATAAAATGTGTCATTTTCGTTAGGCCGCCGGCCAATCTCGGGGTTCCCCCCATTTGACGGCTCCGGCCCGCCAAAAAACAGAGAAATACGAGGCTTTTGCGTGCCAGGGCCACGATCCTCGTGACAGTTGTCGAATTCTGGGCTTTTTGGCGGTCCTCCCGGACGGATTCTGGGCTGTTCCTGGCTTTGCCCGGACAGAATCTAGCAAAAATATAGCCAGAACCACCAAAAACCAGGAAAACATCCAAGTTTTTTTTCCTATTTTCGTGGTTTTTGCGGGTTCCCAGCATTTTCGGCAGAAAATAAGGGTTGATTTTCTGTTACCAAATCCTGCTTATAAAATGCGTCATTTTCGTTAGGCCGCCGGCCAATCTCGGGGTTCCCCCCATTCAACGGCTCCGGCCCGCCAAAAAACAGCAAAAATACGAGGCTTTTGTGTGGTAGGGCCACGATCCTCGTGACAGTTGTCGAATTCTTGGCTTTTTGGTGGTCCTCTCGGACGGATTCTGGGCTGTTCCTGGCTTTGCCCGTAGTCGGTACTGCAAAATCGACGATGTTGGTGCTTTTGTGGGGTTCCCACCCATTTCGGTGGCCTTGGAAGCCGGAAGTCCAAGAACTACAACGGGCCTTCAAAATCGACGATTTGGTGCTTTTGTGGGGTTCCACCATTTCGGCGGCCTTGGAAGCTGGAAATACCTCAAAATCCGAGGGGCCTTGGAAATGGCACCCGGAAAAGGAGCACGTATTGCAAAATCAACGATTTTGGTGCTTTTTAAGGGTTTCCCCTATTTCGGGCTTTGGAAGCCGGAAATTCCTGAAAATCCGAGGGGCCTTGGAAATGGCTTCCGGAAAAGGACTGGGTATTGCTTTTGTAGGGTTTCCACCATTTCGGCAGCCTTGGAAGCCGGAAATCCCTGAAAATCCGAGGGGCCTTGGAAATGGCCTCCGGAAAAGGAGCACGTATTGCAAAATCGACGATTTTGGTGCTTTTGTGGGGTTTCCCCCATTTCGGGCTTTGGAAGCCGGAAATTTAGAAAATCCGAGGGGCCTTGGAAATGGCCTCTGGAATAAGAGCGGGTATTGCAAAATCGACGATTTTGGTGCTTTTGTGAGTTTCCCCCATTTCGGCGGCCTTGGAAGCCGGAAATCCCTGAAAATACAAGGGTCCTTGGAAATGGCCTCCGGAAAAGGAGTGGGTACTGCAAAATCGACGATTTTGGTGCTTTGGTGAAGCCGGAAATCCTTGAAAATCCGAAGGGCCTTGGAAATGGCACCCGGAAAAGGAGCACGTACTGCAAAATCGACGATTTTGGTGCTTTTGTGGGGTTCCCCTCATTTCGGCGGCCTGGGAAGCCGGAAATCCCTGAAAATATGAGGGTCCTTGGAAATGGCCTCCGGAAAAGAAGTGGGTACTGCAAAATCGACGATTTTGGTGCTTTTGTGAGGTTTGAAAAGGAGCGGGTACTGCAAAATCTACGATTTTGGTGCTTTTGTGGAGTTTCCCCTTTTCGGCGGCCTTGGAAGCCGGAAATCCCTGAAAATGCGAGGCGCCTTGGAAATGGCCACCGGAAAAGGAGCACGTATCGCAAAATCGACGATTTTGGTGCTTTTGTGGAGTTTCCCGCATTTCGGGCCTTGGAAACCGGAAATCACTGAAAATTCGAGGGGCCTTGGAAATGGCTTCCGGAAAAGGAGCACGCATTGCAAAATCGACGATTTTGGTGCTTTTGTGGTGTTTCCCCCATTTCCGCAGCCTTGGAAACCGGAAATCCTTGAAAATCCGAGGGGCCTTGGAAATGGCTCCCGGAAAAGGAGCACGTACCGCAAAATCGACGATTTTGGTGCTTTTGTGGGGTTCCCCCATTTCGGCAGCCTTGGAAGCCGGAAATGGTTTCCGGAAAAGGAGAACGCACTGCAAAATCGATGATTTTGGTGCTTTTGTGGGGTTCTCCCATTTCGGGCCTTGGAAGCCGGAAATCACTGAAAATCCGAGGGGCCTCCGGGAAAGGAAAGAGTACTGCAAAATCGACGATTTTGGTGCTTTTGTGGGGTTTCCCCCATTTCGGGCCTTGGAAGCCGGAAATCCGTGAAAATCCGAGGGGCCCTGGAAATGGCCTCCGGAAAAGGAGCGGGTATTGCAAAATCGACGATTTTGGTGCTTTTGTGGGGTTCCCCCATTCCAGCCGCCTTGGAAGCCGGAAATCCCTGAAAATCCGAGGGGCCTTGGAAATGGCACCCGGAAAAGGAGCACGTATTGCAAAATCGACGATTTTGGTGCTTTTGTGGGGTTTCCCCCATTCCAGCCGCCTTGGAAGCCGGAAATCCTTGAAAATCCGAGGGGCCTTGGAAATGGCTTCCGGAAAAGGAGCGGGCACGGCAAAATCGACGATTTTGGTGCTTTTGTGGGGTTCCTCCCATTTCGGCGGCCTTGGAAATGGCTTCTGGCTTGCGAAGCCGGAAATCCGACAAAATCCGAGGGGCTGTGGAAATGGCCTCCGGAAAAGGAGCGGGTACTGCAAAATCGACGATTTTGGTGCTTTTGTGGTGTTTCCCATCATTTCGGCGGCTTTAGAAACCGGAAATCAAAGAAATACAAGGAGCCTTGGAAATAGTCTCCGGAACAGGAGCGGGTATTGTCAAATCAACAATTTTGGTGCTTTCATGGGGTGCGGTTCTTCTGGTCGAAGGAATTTGGCAGCCATGGGCCAATAGTCCGCACGGGTGTCTCTTTTCGCGATCAACCAAGCATGTCTCGAACTTGGGTCTGTACACTGTGCACCGTTCATCTTGATTGTAAGTGTTCTGTGGTATATAATGTACAAATTCATAAGTTAATCGACTGTACACTGCTACGCTGCCCTGGTTTCAGTCGGCTGTCATTATACTATGCACTGCAGCGAGGACGACCCTGGCCCACTCATCGAGCGCCTTATCTTCTTCAGCTGGGTCGGGTAATGCGTCACGCAATGCTGGGTGCCATCGTAATGTATCCACATAGTAGCCGAGAATGAAATTGTGCGACCCCGTTCGATCGCATCGCTCCACGAGACGAAGAAGAGATCGAATTACATATAGCTGACGTTCCCAGGCACGCTTGCTGATCGTCTCGTCATCAGCAAAAGGTAGGAGACGATGGAATGTCGGGTGTGTTTCAAAGGTAGTGGCATGAATGGCGACCAAAAGACGAAGTGCCGTTTGGCGATGAGTCACCACAGTGTGAGTTGCGTGTCCTCCTGCAGGTACGCTTCTGTTTATGTCCTTTATTCCAGCCACGGCATCAATGACTCGCAGTTTGCCAAGAAAGGTGATTATCCACGCAGAAGAGTTGTGCTCAAATGACGTCTCCTCCGGGAGGTCGTCGAGCAAGTACTCCTCTTCCTCCAAGATCTCCGCATAGACCCTGCGAGCATCGTTTCGCAAGCGAGCGGGATCCGGCGCTTCGAGAGACACGAGCAGTGTGTCTGCTCCGTGAACTCGACGCTGCCAAGGGTCTCGGCTTGGGTGATCGTCATGTGGGTTCGGCAACAAGAACTGCGCCGAGGGATAGCGAGATAGCACACTTCTGTGATGATGCTCTAGCTCACGAACTTGATCGAGACGTTGACCTAGCACCTGTTCGTCTCCACTTGCTCGTGCATCCATCCGTGTCGTCATGGCAGGACACGATGCTATACACTGACTAGGTCAACACTTTTTCGAGCAGGAAACTTCGACGAATTTGATTCTTCGTTTTCCCTGGATGTCGGGGTCAGCAATCCAAATCCAGCAGAAGTCCCTTGCATCTAGAGAGATGCAAACGATACATTTTGCCAGGCCATCGACTCCACTGTCCCTGAGGGCCTAGAACTGCGGCTGCTGGGGTCTGTACAGGGTTGATCACACTCCACGTGCTGGCGTGAAATGGTGCGGCGTCATGTGCCCGATGAACTTCCAATCGGCATCGTGCTGCACCCGAGACAGGGCCACGTATCCGGCAGCCGGGATATTGGCCTTGTCCAGCCAGAAGATTGCTCTGGACAGCGTGGCTCCCTGAACCTTCACGAGAGTGGTGGCGTAGCCGAGGCGCAGTGGCAAGTACGTTGCACGGCAGGGCTCCCCTTGGATGACGATGTCGTCATCGGTAAAAGGGAACACAGTCAGGATGCCCCCAGACTTGGTGCGAACCACGACCGTCTGTCCTCGGACGGCTACCACATCGGCTGACATGCCATTCACGAAGCCGACCGCCTTGTTGATGTTCCTGGTTAGAGTCACCCGCATGCCAATATGGATCTCCAATTCCTGGGGCCTGCAATCACATAACTGTCCGGACACGTCGTAGTTGTCCTGATTGCTCTCGTAGTCTGCATGCACGATTGCAGTGGCCTTCTCGTCTCTGAAGAGCGCTGCGACGGCCAACTCGTTGAGCACGGCGCTGGCTTGGCGAGTCACAGTAACGAATGTGGCATCAGGCCATTCTCCCAGCATGGCCTCCATGTCCATGTCGGTTGGTTCCTGGCTGTAGCCGGGGCCTCTGTCGGGCATGGCGCGGTGGCCTCGGATCATGCTGTGCATCGGCACCATTGCTGCTAGAATGGAACCTGCAAGGGCTAGGATGGCAACACTCTGCCCAGACCCTGCCATTGGATATAGCCGCTGGAACGCACGAAATCTGCAGCACGCCTGCATGCAACGGCCCCTCGACCGCCGCACTGGGCTCCGCCGGGGGCTGTGTTGCAAACAGGTCGCCAGAGATGCTGTCCTGGTCGGCGGGGAATCACTTCGTGAATTATCAGTGTAGTCTACTGGCTAATATGTGCAGGCTCCTCGTCCAAGTGCTTGCGTTCGTGGAGGGACTTGGCCGTGTGGCGGATCTGAGGAGAAGTCGTTGATGCACACACACACACACACACACACACACACACACGCAGTGCACATACGCACGCATGCTGAGCAGCCACGAAGCCACTCGGCCTGCCATCCGTCCCGGATCGTCTGCCGCCGCAGGGGGAGTCTCGACGGAACTCGGGGACGAAGATGATGATGCCGACGAAGAATCCACGACCTCTGCAACGTGGCCTGCAGAACTGCAAACAAGGACTGAGCACGGACATCTGTGCACCATGGAGCGCCTGAGGGGGCTCCCGAGTGAGACCATACCTCCGAATGCAACGACTGCGCACGCGCGAGTAGTAGTGTGGATCTCTCCAGGGCACTGCGGCGGGTCGCCGTCGCGGTGGCGTCCGCGAACTCGACGAAGCCTCAGAGTCGTCGCCGGCCACCGGCCCTTGGGACCTTAAGACTCATGTGCGGCAGCTTTCCGTATCGCCACTTCCTTAAATGGTTTTCTTTTGTGTGTGAGGCCGACGCAACAGCACGCATACAATGGCAAAGCTGCGGGCAGTCATGCCTGTATATGGAGAAATATATTCCGCGCTCGAGCCGATGCTGGCCGAGAAGGCTCTACATGTGGCCGGTTGTCGTGCTCTTTCGGTCTGCGCGCTCCTGCAGCTGCCCGTCCTTACCAAAACCCTGCTGCACCTTTTTTTTCGTTCCGGATGGAAGAATGCAAGGCCACGGTAGTTGGCGCTCGCACAGCAGCCAGACAAACCTTACAGCGTGCTACGTACGGTAAGTGTAACACTCATTCCGCGTTGAGTGTACGACCGTCTCTGGCCCCGGAAACGGCCAGCCGCGAGTTCATAACTGACAGGCGCGGTTAGGTCGAACGGACGTCTGTCGCGAGTAATATTCAAGGGGCCTCGGCCGCGAACATCCCCAGGTCGCGGCGATGGGGCGGCAAGCAAAGCCTTCGCTTCTTTCTGTTAGCCTTTGCCCAGTCCAGGTCTTCGGCCGTCACCTGGATCTCCTGCAGTCTTTGTCTCAAGCACGTCTACAGAGCCTACTCTTCTTTAAGCACATCAAAGCGCCCGGCCCAAACCGCCACGATCTGCTTCTCGTGGACGGTCAAAGCAAGAGCTTCTTCCGCACGGTCTTGGAACCGGTTGGCTCGCCAAACCGTGCGGGGTGTCGGCATCCGATCTGGACCGCCTGGGCGCGCTCCCGGCTCCTGTCCAGATGCTTGAGAAAGCTTTCAGGAACATGTCTGCGTTTTACTGCTGCCCGCCTCGTCCAATCGCCAATACAAGAGCGAGGAGTCCGGGATGGCCGCGATCACTCGTTGGTCGCCGGCACGAGCTCTCGCGACAGCGAACCACAAGGCCGCGGCCACGTTTTCCGTGTATGACAGCCACGGAGAATCCTGTCAGGGTTGGTCCGACGGAGGTATACATATTGAAGGAAATCATGTCTTCAAGTTGGCCAGGGCACGCGGCGGTTCCAGGCGATGTGCTCAGCGACCGTCACGTCAGCGCTGCCTTTCCCTATATGACAGTCGCGCACGGTGGCAGCACCTCTGTACCAGTAGCCTTAGCCGGCACGGACTCGAGCAGGCACTCAAGCACAGCACCGACGCGGGCCGGGCCGGTCAGTGGTTGCTGCCAGTCACGGCCATACGGATTTACCTGGCGCACAAGCGAGGTCGCAATTGTGCAGCGACCTGACAGCAGCTCGAGGCCTTGGGGCCGGTCGCTGCTGAAGAGACAAAGTCCTAGAGGAACAAAGGGCGCTGAACCACAAACGTAGGCAGTATGGTCTCGAAACACCGAGATCGCGACATCACGTGCAGCTGCCATGACTTGCGACATCTGCTAGGGTTTACACGGATGAAAGCACAGAGCTCCTTGACGTCGAAGCGCTTCAGATTAATAGTGGCGATTGCTATCAAGAGGTGGAGGGATATAGAAACTCTCGAAGCTTTTTTTTCTCTGTCCAACCGCGCACGCACTGCAGCAGCCTCATCACCTGTCGCCCTCGTCCTCGGACATCCCAAACTGCAGCTCCTCGAAACCGTAATCCAGCCTTGCATGTTTGGCCTCTTGAACTATTACTCAGGGTGCGACTCATCGCCGGTGGTCGGGAGAACGTTCTTCGGCAGGCCTGCGCCTGTGATGCTTAGCCGGACACGCTGTATTGCTCGGACACTGGTACTGCGAGCCACTTAGCCTCAGCCCGAAACTGTCTGTTCCGGCTGCCGAATCTGTCTTCGTCCGCTGCCCGTAGTCTGACCATCCAGATCCTGGGTACGTGAGTCGCTTCACACCGTATGATACAACGAAGATATGCAGGCAAGGCACCACAACCTCTTCCGAAAGAGCGCTCGCAGCTTGCCACCTCGAACTTCCTTCAAGGCCTGGCCGCATCCAATGCTTGCACTTAGCAGATTGAAATTGGGATAGTCCTCATGGGTAGCCTTGAGGTGAAGCACGACCATGTCGTTCTGCGCATCGTGTTCTTCCAGGTGGTCGCGGATCCATTGGACGTAGTGCTCCTGAGCCTCGTTGGAGCAAGTTGCACAAGTTCAAAGCATCCGTGACTGTGTCGCTTCGAGGCTGCGACTTCTTCGTCCGTCATCTCGATCTTGCGACGATTGAGTCCCATGGAGACCTGCGGACAGCGCGAGTAGACATCTCTTGCTGCGTGCTTCACGACTCGGTGAGCATGCTAGCGACTGAGGGCACAACGGATGCACGGAGGCAGGCACGGAGCAACGGATTCTGGCCGATTGAATCTGAAAGAAGGCTGGTTAGTAAGGTTGAAGCAGCGGACAACAGCACGTAAAGCTCTTATCTTCGTGGTGCTTTGCGTGTTTCGGCCACTCAAGTGCGCTTTTTCCACACCGCGTGCAGCTGTCACATCTCCGCACTCACTACAGCGAGTCACCCGTCCATTGACCTACGATCCCGTGCACTGGCCTATATGCTGCAGATAACATCTAGCCGTACGGGGCTCCGACTCCTCGCCGCCGGACGGTGCTGTCAAGCCCCACCTCAGCAACGAGAGCTCGTTGCCGACATCTCGTGCGAGTATCGTCGAGAGCAGTTCATGCTCGGGCCCTGGCGCTTCCAACGCGACGAATAGCAGCATCAGGTTTCGTTGGCGGAGTTCTCCTGCGCGCGTGCGGCGTCCTGAGTGGTCGTGGCGCCTGTGCAAGACAGCCTGGAGTGTCTTGTATAAGGTCCGCACGAATTTTCCTGCCGTCCGGGTAGGTCAGCAGCTCTATAGCGCTGTCCTTGTACATGGGCAGGTGATCGTAGACGCGGTCCATCACGAAAAGCTGACGGGAGGCGTGGAGATGTGCAAACAAAGCTTACGAAGCCTTTTCCTAGCCGGCCTTGATGCGGCAAACCTTGCCGGTCAGCGGCATGTGGATATTGATGCGACGCTGGCCCCTGTGCGTTACAGGTTGGCATCTCTATCGTTTTATTTTTAAAATTCCGGGAAGCTCATGTAGCTCAGGTCTGGACAATCCGTAGACCTGGTCAACGAGGCGCCGACGACTCCTCTCGCTGAGATAGGATGCACCTGCGCCACTGGAGCTACTAGCTTCTACTACGACTGATGCCAAGCCAGCGACTGCGAAGGCCCCGACGAATCACCATCGCGATCAGGACAGGAGCGAAGCAGAGGCAGTGCGCTTCAAGTTTAAACGCTACAGCAGCAGCAACAACACGTGACTGCTCATGTGGCGGTTGTGCGTGTGTACTACTACCACTACTTCTTCTTCTACTACTACTACTACTACTACTCCTGCTGGTGCTACTACTACTACTACTAATACTAGTACTAGGATAACTACTACTACTACTACTACCACCACTACTACTACGACTACTCCTCCTCCTCCTACTACTACTACTACCACCACTACTACTACGACTACTCCTCCTCCTCCTACTACTACTACTATTACAATTTCTAATAACGCTACTAACTATAACTACAACAACAACACTAGTAACTAGTACTACTATTGGTTTCATTGACTGAATACAACCAGCACAAGTCGCTTTTTGGCTTTTCTTTTTCCTCACCGTGTCGGCTTCCATGCCTTCGTCAACTTACTTAAGGAATGAAAAAATACGTTTTTACATTGCGAAAACCCGATGTCGGTCGCAGAGCCTAAGGGAAGCGACAAACCAAAAAAAAACAGTGGAAAACGCCTGGGTTTTGCATCGAGATTTTTGAGGATTCCGCTTTTCCTATCAAAATCGTCAAAAATCGCGAATTTTGCGACTTAGGCTAACGCCAAAATTTGAAGGCAAAGCGACGAATCGCCGAAATCGATGGCAAAAATATAGGCTTTTGCCTATAGAAAAATTACGCGTGCAAAAGCCAGGCCCCGAATGGGGGCGCCAAAATCACCCCAGCGGCCAGATCTGACTGACGGCAGCCAGTTCTGACTGACGACAGCCAGTTCTGACTGACGGCTAATTTGGTTATTAATGAGGGAGCTTAGTAAGGCCTTAATAAGGCTCTAATAAGGCCTTAATAAGGCTCTAATAAGGCCTTAATAAGGCTCTAATAAGGCTTCAATAAGGCCTTAGTAAGGCTCTAATAAGGCCTTAATAAGGCTCTAATAAGGCCTTCATAAGGCTCTAATAAGGCTTTAATAAGGCTCGAATAAAGCTTTAATAAAACTCTAATACGGCCTTAATAAAGCTTTAACAAGGCCTGAATAAGGCTCTAATAAGGCTTTAATAAGGCTTTAATAAAGCCTTCATAAGGCTCTAATAAAGCTCTTATAAAGCCTCAGTAAGGCTTTAATAAGGCTTTCATAAGAGCTTCTTAAAAAGAATCTAGTAAGGCTTTGGCTTGGCTTGAATAAGGCCTTAATAAGACTCTAATAAGGCTCCAAGGTTTTCATAAGGCTTTAATAAGGCCCTAGGCCTTAATAAGGCTTTAATAAAGCTTTAATAAGGCTTTAAAAAAACGCTTTAATAAGATTTAATAAGGCTTCAATAAAGCTCTAATAAGACTTTAATAAGATTCTGATCAGGCTTTAATAAGACTTTTATAAGGCTCTAATACGACTTTAGTAAGGCTCTAACAAAGCCTTAATAAAGCTTAATGAAACCTCAATAACGCACCAAGAAAGCCTTGATAAGATTCTCATGAAGTCTCAATAGGCTTGTAATAAGGCTTTAAAAAGTCTCTTATAAGGCCGAAGCAAGGCTTGAATAAAGCTTTTCCAAAAGCTATTATAAGGCTTTAGTAAGGCTTTAAGAAGATTATAATCAACCCTTATTAAAGCGTTTTATTAAAACTTTCGTAAAACTTGAAATACGCTCTAGTAAGGCTTTACTAAAGCTTTAAAAAGGCTCCAATGAAGCTTTACCCTAATGAATCTTAATAAAACATTAATAGAACCTTACTAAGATATTCATTATCTGTAATAGAACTTCACCCAGGCTTTACTCGAGATTCATAAGAGTTTAATAAAAACATAACAAGGTCTTAATATACGTTTAATAAATTACTGAGATTTTAATAACGCCTTGGGCCTTAAGAAAATTGACCATAATAATAATCTAATAAAGATTTTAATAAAGATGCAATATACTAAAAAACGACTTGATTAAAACCTTGATAAGTTTCTAACAATAACTGAAGACGATCTTAATAAAATATAAAGACAAGGTTAATCTAATTCCAATTTATAAGATCTTAGCATAGTTGAAAAAAATCTATCTCAAAATTCTAATGAATAAATATATTCTTTCTAAAAACCAATATAGACTATCTACGCTCAAAAAAAAAGTCTCACAAAATATTATCAAAAATACTACACAATTCCAGAAAATATCATATAATCCGTAAGACTATCAATAATATTTCCTAAAATTCACTCATCTTCTCAAGAAAGAAAAAATAAGATTTCGATAAACCTATGTATTCGAAATTCAGAAAAGTATATTTTATTTTACAATTTGCCGCGCATCCAAAATACAGTTATTTATAAAATCTCAATACATCAGTGAGAAATATTTAAATAATCCAGCAATTGTTTCTCAAAATAAGTATCTGTATATAGTCCAAATTTACCTACAAAAGACTAATATAAAACAACTAGAACCTAAAGAAATCTACAATAATCATACTAAAATCTTCTTAGATAAATTATCACTCCGACCTCCCTTACAATTCAATAAATAAATAAACTTTATCAACTATTTATAAAACATTTAGATAATTTCACACTATATAACTATCCATTTTTAATCTCATAACACCCAGAACAAGAGAGCGATACGCATATATATATATATATATATATATATTATATTCGTAAAGAATATAATTCAAATTTGCAAATTCGGAATCTTAAAATCAATTCTATTCTATGTATTATATATAATCATAATTATCTATCTATATATATATATATATATCCTTTTCCCTATCAAATCAAAATCTACATGCCGACAAATTCAGAATATCATTATATAATCAACAAATATTCACTATAAACGGAATAGAAAAAGAGATAGAACCAAATGTATTTAGATTTTAATCTAGCTTTATATACATCCGAATTCATATAAATCAAAATATCTCGATGCATACGTAATAAAATCGCATATTTAATATCGAGATATTTCCCTAAACTCATGTCCTATAATATCTTAGTCATCCATTACCTACATAATCTAGATTATATTCTCTAGATCTTTATATATATATATCTACACATAGATCTTGATATTTATATCTCGTATAACAAAGACTACTATATTCATATCTTCCAAAATTAATATTACTATAAATATTCCATACAGAACAGCGTATAATCACGATTCTTGCGTGTATTCAGAAGATAACGATCAACCATAATATACATATCCATATATATCCATATTCCACGACATTCAGGCTTCTCTTAGATCAACATCTATATCAATGTCCAGAATTCGATAAGGAGACTTTCCTCACGTACAGAACACTCTGAATCCCGATTCATCAAAAATCTTCTATAATATCTCTATCAAGAAACGTCCAGAATCACCGGACATATTGAATCGTCTATCTTTAGATACTTCAGATAAGAAAATCAGCAAATCCATATTACGCGATCTCCCTTATCAAATAAACATATCTCTACACGACTCCTATGACTTCCCAAAAAGAATCAACCTAATAAAAGATTCGCAGAGACTGTCTCTTAAATAGAACATTTCTCGACGATATATGGCGTATTTCCAACTCAATTTCTTGTCCATGACCTCACTAGTCACTCACTCATCACATTCATAATGCCCATACGTACATACGTACACATGAAAAAAACAGGCCGTCCAACTGATAGATAGCTAAATAAACAAATATCTATCTATAGACATAATAACTATATGACATATTGGAAACCTCGCTGAACCTAAATCACCCTAACCCTGCCGCAGTATACCAACGACAGAAACGCTATACATTCGGTAGCCGACATCTTGTACGGACATCTGAAGAAAACTGACCGTCAAGCAGTCTGGAGAAGGCCACTCCCTCAGCAGCTCTTCAGAGCCTGCGCGGGGTTTGCAGCAGTTTGTGCTCCGAAACGTGTGGAAAAGCGTGGTCCTGGAGTCCTGCCTGTCTTTCGAACCCAGCGCACCGCCCGTCCTGTCCGCGTGCTGCTTTGGGGCACGGATCCCCCGCATGCGTTCGTGCGTGTCTCTGTGTGCGTACAGGACTCGACGGTCTGAGAATCGCGCGGCTTCCAGTCGGGGTCGTCGTCCCGAAGGGAAGCCAGCTTCGCAACGGCGATCATCTTGGCCTCCTGTTAGCACTCCGACGGATTGCGATGCTGTGGGACGGGTGATACACAACCTCCTCATCGTTGTTCGCCGGACGAGTGTTTTCCTCGGGTAGACGAGCCAGAGTCCACACTTGCATGTACCACTTTTACCCCCCTGCGTCCTGGCCCAGAGTGAGGTCAGGAACACCGTCCTGAGCGAGTGAGCGTTCGTTCCAATGCTGCGAAGTTACTTAGTTACTAGCTTGCATGCTTGTTAGTACGCATGTCGCCCGCGGTTGTTGCTAGCTGCCACCGTGGCGTGCCTCGAAGAAGTCCCCGAGGCTCCAAGTTTCCTTGTCAGCGCAGTGTTGCTGTCGGAACGCTCGGCCCCCGGCCGCAGGGGTCCTCGTCGCGGACGTTCTCCTTCTCTACCTGCGAGACTGCGAGAGGAGTGGCTTGCCACCACAGGTGCTGTTCCTGAGAAAGCATGCTGGAGCATGCTCACCTCCGGGATGTCGCCGAAAAGCTCCTTGCCGGGCAGTGTCACTTGCCGTGTGACTGCCCCGCCCCCCCGTCCCCTCGACAGGTCCTCCTCGATGTCGGCGTCCTTTGCGGCCTGCTCTTTCTCTTCCTGCACAGCAATACCCGCTGTCGTGGTGTGCGTACAGAGAGCACAGTGGCGCCGGTAGCACGAGCCTCGGGCACGACGAACAGCTCGTTGATGGAGGCTTCCCATCTCTTGCGCTCCTTCAAGCGGTGCTTCGGTTCGAGAGTTGCAGCAGCTGGGCCTAGCAGCCCTGTCGGCTCCTCGGCTTCAGGGACCTCAACATGCCATGCAGTCACTATGTCGAGTGCCCGACAGCCAGCAGCTTCCACTTGGGACTGCGCCCACTTGGCGACGAAGTCTCGACGCTTCGCTCCAGCGTCTGCAAGACAACACCGCACGAGACAGCTGAGCAAAGTCGCGTAACTCGGCGCGAGACTCCTCGCCTCGGCGGGCCTTGCCAAGGGTTGCCCGCTCCGGGAACGGCAGTGGGGCTCCTGACATGAACTCAGAGGCGTTTCCCGCTAAAAACCTCAGACCACTCCTCAAGGGTCGGCCTTTCTTACGAGCGCGACTGTTGGCCGCGTTCTCCCTGTCGACCCTCCTCTTCTCCCGGAGCTTTCCCGCAGCCTGCCAGCTTCGCATTGCGCACATGACGATGCAGCTTCGGAACGAGTGCACCTGCTCGTCCTCCTTCTCCTTTTTCCGCAGCACTTCGAGTGTGGCCTTCTTCTTCGACCAAGTCAACTCATTGTGCTGCTTCTTCCAAGCCTTTGACGCCTGCATGCATCGTTCCAGTTGCAAAACGTGACATCACTTCGCTTTATCCGCCTCTGGCACCTCGGGCCCTGCCTCCTCCACACGCTGGAGCTCTTGCTCGCGCGCCGTGGTCAGGCCTGCCTCTGCCTTTTCCTTCCTGGCAGCTTTCTTCTCTTGCTTCCTGTCTCCGCAAAAATAACATCAAGCAGCATGGAGAGGTGTGTGCGAGCTCGCCTAGCTGCTTCCTCCGCCTTTTTGGTCTCCTTCTTCTTTTCGCGCAGTGCCTGCGCGAGTGGCATCGCACGATTATAGGAGGCACTCATCATATCTCTCCTGGTGCCTTCTTGTTTGGGTCGACAGCTTTCTTGGTCACTGCTTTGCCGGTCTGGGACGTGTGCGCACCCACTCACTCAAGTCTTTCGCACCCTATTCGAGCCCGGCCTGCATGGCCATCACCATATCCATGTGGAGGAGGCGAGACAAGGCATTGGTGGAAGGTTTCGGCGGGAGAGGCTCGGCCACCGACGACCAAGGGTAGAGGCTCCGCGCCTGCTCCATGGGCAGGACCTGGACAGAACCGGGCATTCACTATAGCACTATCCATGCCGTGCAGTACACTGGCCTCCAGCAAAATGGCCTCGAATAGCTGAGCCAGCTTAGGCGTCAGCTCCCACAGGGCGTGTGGGGCCTTGCCACAGCGGCCCGCCACGTGGTTGCGGAGCTCCTGCCACTTGTTCCGTTTTAGTTCCATAGAGTCAGCGCTGTCACAAGTTGGTGGCCTTGGGGGTCGGAGGCATCTCTTTCCACAGCTCCTTCATGTTCTGCGCAGCTTCCACGACCTGGTGGAAGGCCTGCGGAGCAGGATGGCTTTGCAGCAGATTGCTTGGACTGCTTCCGCGCCGCACCCGCTTCGGCGAGACCGCGGGCAGGGAGCGACAGCAGAGACTGCAGAGGCAGCCCTCCACATCCCCGCACTCTCCAAGTTTGCCGAGCTCCACTTGTGTTTCCGGCAGCTGCATGGCGAGAGCTGGGGAAGGGAGGTGAGGCAGAGTGCTGCGTTGGCTTGAGGTCGCGAAAGGCTACACAGAAGCGAAGAGCATGGACGGAGCTGGATTCCACAAGCACTCGCCCACTCGAGATGCGCCCGTAGCATCTCAACACATCAAAGCAGTCTTTCTCAGTGTCCCTCTGCGGCAAAAAGTACGTGCGACGGAAGTCTGAGATTTTTGCATGAGAGAGTTCGTCACGTCGACATATATCCCACCACAACCCACACGGAGCATTTGTCCTTAGCTTGAGTCTTTAAGCGTCCGAAACAAAGGCAGATATTCATGCAGCTACAGGCCAGCTCATAGGCTCTCATCGCTGCGGCGGCGTAGAATCAAGATGGAGCGAAGAAGACTTCTTCTGTTTCGCATGAAATCGCTTCATGGCTAGCCTGGCAGGGGCAAGATATTGATCTACCTTCGCAGCTTCCGAATGTCATATCCTGCTCTTTGTCGAGAACAGACGCTCTTGCTCGTGATGAGGGCCCGGCAGAGGCGAGATGCAAGTCATGACGCTCACTGCTACATCCAAAGAGCTTCGCCCGGCGAAGCGATTGCAAGTCGCCGAACTGCACAACTCAGCTGCTCAGTTACCATCGTCGAGCAGTGCTGGCAGTTTTCGAGCGATGACAACTCTTGAGGATCAAACGGAGCAGAGGGAAGCTTATTTTGTTGAGAACCGAAGCTCTTGCTCATGATGCCGGAGGGCAGGGCGGAGTTTAGTGGAGCCATACGAAGAAGACGACCTTTTCTTGCTGTAGAATGTGGCTTTGGCCGCCTTGGGCACACAACGGACCACGAATTGTTGTGTGACGGCACACGAAAAGAACGGCCCTGTTTTGCTGCAGAACTACTCTAGGGCCCATCGCCCCAGAGTTGCATAGAACTGAGGCGAGAGCACGATTGGTAGCTACTGCGAATTAAATACGGCCCGCCCCGCAGAGTTGCATAGAACTGTTGTGAGAGCACGCTCCTGATAGCTGCTAAGACACGGTGGCGAGTCGACTGCGGCAATGCAGCTGTTGGACACAACGGCATTAATTACAAAAGCTTTACTTTGGATGATTGCTAAACTGTGGCGAGAACACGATGCCAATTCTTGAACGCCGCTGGGAGGGGCCGGGCCGCGACAACGCTGCTCGCCCCCCCACCAGGCTCAGAACAAAACGACAAGTGCAACTTCGCGAGCAAAACTTTTGCGTGATACAACCTGTGGTGCTATCGTCTCAGGCGACTCACGCCGGCAGAAGCTTAAAGCTGAGTTAATGTTTAAAGATCGGTTCTCGGAAGATATCAGGTAATAGTTTCTCACAATATCGAGCTGTGATCAGCTCTGCAAAGCTCGGAGCCACACACCTCTTTTTCCGTAGCCGTTCCTGCTCGATGTCGACGCAGGTGTCACTGGCTTCCTGGCCGAGAGAAGCTCTTGCTTTACTCGTGAGGTTATGAAGGATTGCCGTTTAGGGTCCCGTCTATGACATCTACTACTTGCTTGCGCTCCAACCTACATACACATTGCAGCTCTTCGGCCTAGGGTTGCTTGCGATGGTTTGCACGTTTGCTCCGGACTATTGGAGTTGAGTGTTTCCGTGGCTTCGGTTGCATCTGCCGTCATCGTCAGCTCCATCATCATAATCATCCGCGCCACGACGACATTCAGCACCGAATGATGTCATGCTCACCGTAGCTATAATTATTAACACTCATCAGTATCATCCTCATCATCATCGTGAACATAGCGACATACTGCTTCTTCTTGCAGGGCTTCTTGCAGTATCTGAAGACGAGCACTGACAGCAAAAACATTCGCAGCAGCATGAGTGACAACGAAAGCAAACAACAGCAGCAACACCCTTAGAAACAGCAGCAACAACGGATTTAGCTCCAAGTTATTCGCCCCTGCTTTTGAACTAACCCTTTTAATTATAAGACTATGTTTTTGCTGGCTAGCGCTGACAAGTGCTGACGACTGCGGAAACAAGAATTCAAAGCTGCCTGCCCCTAAACTCAAACATAGTAGTTTATGAGAATAGCAAAAGAGGAGTTTAGGTATAAACCCTAAAAGGAGTAGGTCTGGGTGGTGCGCCGCCTCATGAACGGCGCGGGGCGGGAGAAAAGAAATCGGGCCGCCATAAGCAGGCCGAAAAACAATTTCGCTGCGAGCACGCCGTCCACCGCAAGATTGACACAAGCACTGACATATTAACCGCCCCCGGAAACCAAACAACTTCCGTGAATTAGGTATAAACCCTAAACCCTAAACCCTAAACCCTAAACCCTAAACCCTAAACCCTAAACCCTAAACCCTAAACCCTAAACCCTAAACCCTAAACCCTAAACCCTAAACCCTCAAGTCCCCATAAATTGAGCTTGCGTATTACACCGTGCGTGGTCTTCCATTACATTCTTTTCAAATTGAAGCAAATACACTCAAAATCATATGATATGCATAGCTGTTTGCACAAGTTCTTGCAATCGAGTTTAAGTAAATTGAACTGATTTTTCCGCCACCACCACCACCAAAATGCAATCGAGTTTAAGTAAATTGCACCAACTATAAAAATACCAATACTAATACGAGATTTAGGGTCTAGAATATTGAGCTCTGGGTTTGAAGTCTAGTTAAAGGTTCAAGGTGGGTTTAGGGTAAAGGGTTTAAGTTTTTACACCATGCGTGGTATTCCATTTCATTCTTTTCGAATTGAAGCAAATACACCTAAAATCATATCCTTGGATATGCATAGCCGTTGGCACAAGTTATTGCAATCGAGTTTACAAACCCTAGGGTTTAGCAAACCCCCATTCAGGGTTTATTAACGTAATTTAGGGTTTGGCAAACCCTAGGGTTTAGAAAACCCCCATGCAGGGTACAGGACCTGAAGGGTTGTCCTAAACCCTGCAGGATCTGAAGGGTTTCCTTGAACCCTTCAGGACCTGTTTGTATTCAACCCTTCAGGATCTGAAGGGTTTCCCTGAACCCTTCAGGACCTGAAGGGTTGTCCTAAACCCTTCAGGATCTGAAGGGTTTCCCTGAACCCTTCAGGACCTGAAGGGTTGTCCTAAACCCTTCAGGATCTGAAGGGTTTCCCTGAACCCTTCAGGACCTGAAGGGTTGTCCTAAACCCTTCAGGATCTGAAGGGTTTCCCTGAACCCTTCAGGACCTGAAGGGTTGTCCTAAACCCTTCAGGATCTGAAGGGTTTCCCTGAACCCTTCAGGACCTGAAGGGTTGTCCTAAACCCTTCAGGATCTGAAGGGTTTCCCTGAACCCTTCAGGACCTGAAGGGTTGTCCTAAACCCTTCAGGATCTGAAGGGTTTCCCTGAACCCTTCAGGACCTGAAGGGTTGTCCTAAACCCTTCAGGATCTGAAGGGTTTCCCTGAACCCTTCAGGACCTGAAGGGTTGTCCTAAACCCTTCAGGATCTGAAGGGTTTCCCTGAACCCTTCAGGACCTGGACCTGAAGGGTTGTCCTAAACCCTTCAGGATCTGAAGGGTTTCCCTGAACCCTTCAGGACCTGAAGGGTTGTCCTACCTTCAGGATCTGAAGGTTCAACCCTTCAGGACCTGAAGGGTTGTCCTAAACCCTTCAGGATCTGAAGGGTTTCCCTGAACCCTTCAGGACCTGAAGGGTTGTCCTAAACCCTTCAGGATCTGAAGGGTTTCCCTGAACCCTTCAGGACCTGAAGGGTTGATCTGAAGGGTTTCCCTGAACCCTTCCTAGATCTGAAGGGTTTCCTTGAACCCTTCAGGACCTGAAGGGTTGTCCTAAACCCTTCAGGATCTGAAGGGTTTCCCTGAACCCTTCAGGACCTGAAGGGTTGTCCTAAACCCTTCAGGATCTGAAGGGTTTCCCTGAACCCTTCAGGACCTGAAGGGTTGTCCTAAACCCTTCAGGATCTGAAGGGTTTCCCTGAACCCTTCAGGACCTGAAGGGTTGTCCTAAACCCTTCAGGATCTGAAGGGTTTCCCTGAACCCTTCA